TTTAGTATATGATAGATAGAACAAGGAAACACTACTTGGTTTAAAATCAGGAAAGGTGTACACCTGTGACACATCCTATCTCCATACCTTTTCAAGGTATATGCAGAGCAGATCGTCTAAGAGGCTGGGCTCTGTGAGAAAGAAATGTGGCATCAGGATTGGAGGAAGACTCATTAACAACCTCCATTATGCAGATGACACAACACCTTGCTCTCTGAAAATGAGTAGGACCTGAGAAATTTACTACAAAAAGTGAGGAGCTGCAGGCTTCAGTATGGCTTGAAGCTCAATATAAAAAGACAGAATTCTCACTACGAAGTCAATTAGCAAATTAATGATACCAGTTTGGAGACTAAGGTTCATCTGATCTAGGCCATGGTCTTAACAATTACTTGCTATGCATCAGATGGCTGGACAGTGACTAAAGATGATAGAAGAAGAATTGATACCTTTGTGTTGAGGTGCTAAATATACCATGGACTGCTAAGTGAATAAACAGGTTTATGCTGGAGAGGGTGAAACTAGGCTGCTCCTTAGAGGCAAGGATTTTGAAGTTCTGTCTGAGTTACGTTATATATTATTATAATATTTATTATATTTATACTACTGTTGTTGTTATGTGCCATTGAGTCACCTGTGACTCATAATGACCCTATATACAACAGCCTTAAACCCTGCTCTATCTTGTCTTATTATCTCTGACACACCTAAATCTCATTACCCCAGTCACTGAATCAATCTATCTCATCAAGGGTCTTCTCTTGCATTGTCGTTCTACTCTCCCAAGTATTATGGCCCTCTCCAAGGACTGATACCTCCTTGCAACATGTTTAAAGTGTGTCAGATGAAGCTTCAGAATCTTTGTCTCCAAGGAGAAGCCTGGCTTACCTTCTCTAGGATGAACCTGTTTCTTCTCCTAGCAGTCCATGGTATGATCAATTCTCTTCTCCAGGACCACAGCTCAAAGGCATCAATTCTCCTTCTATTATCTCTAGTCATTGTCCAGCTTTCTGATGCATAGCAAGTAATTGCAAAGACTATGGCCTGTATAAGGCACACCTTAAGTCTCCAGACTGACATTATTGCTCTTCAGTACTTTGGAGAGGTTTCTGACAGCAGACTTCCCCAATGCAATTTGTCTTTTGATTTCCAAGAGTGTTGATTGTGGAGCCAAGTAAACGAAAGCTGTTAATAATCTTAATCTCTTCACCATCTATCATAATGCTGCCAATCAGCCCACTGGTGAGAATCTTTGTTTTCTTGATGTTGAACTTCAATCATATTGAAGGCTGTAGTCCTTGACCTTCTGCAGTAAGTGCTTCAGGTCCTCCTCAGTTTTAGCAAGCAGAGTTGTGTCATCTACATAATGCAGACTGTTGATGAGTCTTCCTCTTATCCTGATGCCACATTTCTCCTCATATAGCCCAGCCTCCTGGATAAGCTGTTCTGCAGATAGATTGAAAAGATATGGAGATAGGACACATCCCTGGCATACACCCTTCCTAATTTTGAACCGTGTAGTATTTTCTTGCTCTGATCTGATGACTGCCTCCTTGCCCAAGTATAGGTTTTGCATAAGCACAGTCAAGTGTTCTGGGATTTCCATTCTTCTCAGAGTCAGCCACAGCTTGTTGTGATCCATAAAGTCAAATGCCTTTGCATAGTCTATGAAACACAATACTATGGCACTCCCTGCTTTCAGCCAAGATCCATCTAACATTAGCTGTAATATTCCTGGTACCACGACCTCTTCGAAACCCAGCCTGCGATAATTATATTATAGGCCATATCAATCCATTTTTATATGTATCTAGATGTTGTTGTTGTTATGTGCTGTCAAGTTGCTTGCGACTCATAGCAACCCTGTGTACAACAGCCCTAAACTCTGCTCTGTCCTGTGCCAATTGCACTGTCTCTGACACACCCATCCCGATTACCCCAGTCACCGAATCAATCCACCTCCTAGAGGGCCTTCCCCTCCTGCGCCTGCCCTCCCCCCTCCCAAGCATGATGTCCTTCTCCAAGCACTGGTCTCTCCTTACAACATGATGTATATAAATAATAATTATCAAATAAGATTACTGGAAATAGATCTTATATGCAATATTTGTCATAAGAATCAATAGCTAAAACTCCTGACAATATGCACCCAGGAGAATATTTCCCTTCCATTTTCACTGGCATTCTTTAAGATTGGTTCCTGCTACTCAGAAACATGGCTTCTGAAGAGGCAGTGAATGAGCATATGGTCAATGCTATAACTCTGGAATTACTTGAGCACAAATCTGAGCAGGTTCTCAAAGCTCTGCGGTTTATAAATAGAGGCTTTTTCATATATACAATACCATGGGTAGATGGAATTCTAAGGTTTCAGGGGAAATGACACAATTCCAAAATGAAGCTATGTGTACATAGCACCAAGCTATCCAAATGAAAACTGAGCAAATCACTTAGGAATGTGGTCTCTCCTAGCTCAGACATTTAGAATCACTGTTGGAAATATGTAATGTGGTTCTGACACTGTTTGACTACTCATGGGTGAACTATACCAAAGTGAAGTCTCACTTCAATTTGCTGCGGCTCCTAATCCACCACAGACTAAAAAAACCATGGAGCTAAATTGGTTGGAATTGTATTTAAAAGAAGAATGATGAGACTCTGACTTAAGGCCAAAGAAAGTAGTCTATCACAAGAACATGAAGTAATGTAGGTGTATAAAGTATGTGGCCTTTATGACATGTTTTGGAGTTTTCCTTCAAAAATCAAGGTCTAAAAGGAAGCAGACTCTATGAATTTACCTTGTAACCCAATTTTGTTAGATTATCCTTTCTTCTCCAATGCACAGTTCCCCTTGAGAAAGAAGATTTAAGACTTCCTAAGTAGGCTCCCGAGGAGTGCACCTGTGGTAAGTGTCCCAGTTGCTACAGACCATGTGGGACTTTAAGCAGAAACAGATTCTCAGCAGGTTGTCTGTATGTAACTAAAAACTTCTTGCAGGTCCTTGCAGATTTTGACTTCTGGGTCTCTTCCATGGCCATCACTCACAGCTACCTTAGGTTCCTCTGTATGCACTGTGAGCACCTTTCTAATTCATCTGGGTTGATGTGCCATGTAATAGAGCTCTTGGACGAGTTGTAAGTGTGAAGGCAGTGAGATTGGAAATGGTATACTTCTTCTTTAGAAGTGAAATCTGTTCTTCACAGATCCTGACCAGGAGTCTGAATTGTTTTATACTCTGTCTCCAATTTCTCCACCCAACCCCCTACAGCAATTGACGTTAATGAACGTCTGGTGCACCCAAGGTCCAGTCTCCATGGTGCTCCACCCCACCTTCTCTTTTCTTCTGGAACCATTCAGAAAAGGGTATGTGAGTGGGTGTGGAAGGCTTATTGCCCAAATGTTCCACTGGAAGAGTGTGGTAGAGCCAGATGTGAAATGGACCTCCCCTGAGTGAAGAATATGCAACCAAGAGTCACAGCACATATTTGAGAGGAGTGGCTTTCTTACTTAACTCTCGAGTTGAAACATTGTGCTATCCCACATCCAAGTCAAAATGCCTGTCCAGATTATACATCAAAACTGGCCTGTTATCATGTCTGATTTTTACTGAGCATCTTTGAAGAAGAAAGAGTCCTTTGAGGGGGCTAATTGGTCCCAGGCCTGAGAGTTGGACATGGATTTGTATGGCCACTTCAGAAGAAAAATTCCAGTGTTTTAAATCCAGGTATCACATAATGTTTCAACTGGAGCACACACGCTCAGATCAACATAACAAAAGATAGAGGGTGCTTTGACCCTGACAACACAGAATAAGTTTGCCTTGATGGTGAGTGCAGCGTGGCAAGAGTTAATGCTGTAAAATTCACAGTACCGACAACTTTAAATCACTGAAAGTTGTTCAGAAAATATTCAGCAATACTTAAAAAACCCCCAACAAAACAAATACAAAAAAACCACCAACGAAAAAACCAACATCCCAGCCCTGTTATGAACTCATCCAAGACCTGAAACACATAAAACGTTTATTAGTCATCACTGAAATAAAATGCAGACAATTTTGTCTTAGAAAGATCCAAAAGGTTTTGTTTTCCATCTACAAGACCATAAAACAGTCCCTGACAAATTTTAAATGGTCTTCTAATTAATCACTTGATTTTTATAATTTCTTGCCAGCTAAAAGTTCGATATTAACACAACAGAGTGAGAAATCCTCTTTGACGGAGCATGGTCCTTTGCACAGCTTCACTGAATTGGCCAAGCCAGACTTTTGTGGTAAGGAGCTCAAATGGAATGAACCATTAATCTAAAGGAAATAGTTATTTTTACATTGATTAAAATGAGGAATTAAATGTGCTCTAAACTCACAAATGGATGATTCCAGTTATGTTCCTTTTTGTAGAGGAAACATATTATGGTGCTTTTTCTTTAAGATTATTTCTTTAGTAAATCAGCACTTTATGAAAGACTAGTATTATGTGTTCTCTTTAATAATTTTATGTATTCGGAAATTGTCATTAAAACTCTAACACCTAACTATTTTTATATTAAAAAAGAATCTGATTTCTAGTGAATATGATGATGATGTAAACAATCTCAGACAATCTTATCCCAAGAAGGGGATTCTGTAATGGGTGGGGTATTTTTTGCAAACTCACCATCAAGCATGTAACCATTGAAACAGAACTTACACTACCACATGCAAATAACATATCCGAGCATGGAAGAAACCTAGAGGACAGTGCAAGACAAGGGAAGGTTTCCAGCTATTGTTCGCAGGCCAATGTGAGTCACAGTCAACCTGACCGCTCCTAACCACACCACAACACAACACAACAACACAACACAACACGACACAACACAATACAACACCATCAATAGCTACTTCCCCATCTCCAGTGAACACTAGGGATTTCCATCCAAGAATGAATTAGAGGATAACTCTAACATTATAAATACTGTCCTTATTTTCTAGAACCTTTTTAATGACAACTTTCACCTACCTCATAAAATAAGGGCATACCACTGCCTACAGGCTTCTTTCCCTTCTTAGCTGTAGAATCAAAATGTTGATGCACATCATTGATCTGTAAGAAATTAAATTAATCCATTATGGAAAAGAAATGCTTATCTAACAAATGCTTGGTGGTATGTGACTACCTCAGGCCTGCTGTTCATTGGATCACTATACTTGACTTGATGACTCCCAACAACAATAGGTGACTTGAAGCAGTTGAACTTGAGAGGCCCTCCTGGTCTAGATAGAATAGTTAAGCTGTTGGCAAGTGTAAGAGCTTAGACCAAATGATCAGTCATTGCTATATTATCGTTCTCCTTTCTTGGAACTTAAATAGCCTAGTATTATATTGTTATTCAGTCATTTTCCTTTAAATAATTCTTTATAGAACTCAGTATGGTACCTGGGATGGTCTCGGAATTTTTTTATTAAAAAATAAATATGGAAGGTCTTCAAAATCACTTGTTATGCATCAGAGAGTTGGACAATGACCAAGGAGGATAGAAGGAGAATTGATGCCTTTGAGCTGTGGTGCTGGAGAAGAGTATTGAGAATACCATGGACTGCTAGGAAAACAAACAGATTTGTCCTGGAAAGGGTCAAACCGGGTGGCTCCTTGGAGGCAAGGATTCTGAGGCTCCCTCTAACATAATTTGGACATGTTGTGAGGAGAGACCGGTCCTTGGAGAAGGACATCATGCTGGGTAGAGTAGAGGGACAGCGCAGGAGGGAAAGACCCTCTATGAGGCTGATTGATTCAGTGACTGGGGTAATCGGGATGGGTGTGTCAGAGGCAATGCGATTGGCACAGGATAGAGCAGGGTTTAGGGCTGTTGTACATAGGGTCGCTGTGAGTAGCAAGCGACTAGACGGCACATAACAACATTTATTAATAAAAATTTGTTCCACAGTAAATGATTCATACTTATTCTAACTAAATATTTACTTAAAATAACCCAAACTTAAAAAAAAAAAAAAAACCAACCCCAAAACCAATTAAGAACACAACAATTTTATTCTGGTTGGTTTTTTGTTTGTTTGTTTGTTTTTTTAAGGTAAAAAGTCTTCAAAAGGCTGGAGGTAGGAGGTGCCCATTACCTGCTGTAGAATGTCTTGCCATGAGACCACACTGAAGAGTTTACGCTGAGGGGCCCGGACAGCCAGGGTGAGGGCTTGGATGGGAAGCTCATCCTCAGTCTGGTTCCCAATCACAAAAGCGATAGAGGCTTTCCAATCGTTCTGTAACAAAATCAGAAGGAAGATGATTACAAATTCTTACCATTAGGAAATTTTGTGTTAATAAGTGCCATTGGGGAAAAAAAAATGAGGTTTGTCTCTTTTTTTCCCCTCAGAGACGTTCTTAAACTTGAAAGGTTTATCATTCCTCATAAAATGACCACAAGGGGGCGTGTGGTGCCACACTTTGGACAATTTGGTTAAATGACACTTAAGAAAGTCAGTTATTGCCATCAAGAGGGAGCTGACTCTCCAGCAAGTTATAGCTGATCCTCCAGTAAGATTTAGAAGACTTTAAATTGCAAGAGAAGAGACTGCCCATCTTTCTCCCATGGGGCAGCTGGTGGATTCAAATCAACCTCTCTTGGGCTGGCAGCATAACTCCTACTCAGCAAGCCACCAGAGCTGCCGCTCAAGAAACTTTTGTTGTTGTTGTTGTTGTTGTTGTTATGTGCGTTGAGTCACTTGAGACTTCCAGCGACCCGATGTACAACAGCCCTGAAACCTGCTCTATCCTGTCCCAACTATACTATGTCTAACATATCTACCCTCATAAGACCAGCCACTGTATCAATCCATCTCACTGATGGTCTCCCCCTCTTTCTCCATCCCTCCACCCTTCCAAGCATGATGTACTTCTCCAAGGACTGGTCCCTTTTGCAACATGCCACAAGTATGTCAGACAGAGCCTCAGAATCCTGGTCTCCAAGGAGTAGACTGGCTTCACCCTCTCTAGGAAGACACTGTTCTCCTGGCAGTCCATGGTATATTTAGCACCCTTCTCCAGCACCAAACTCAAAGGTATCAATACTCCTTCTATCATCCCTAGTCATTACCCAGCTTGCTGGACAATAGCAAGCAATTGCAAAGGCTATAGCCTGGATCAGGCACACCTTAGTCTCCAGACTGACACTGTTGCTCTTCAGTACTCTGGAGACAGCTGACTTTCCCAGTGCAATTCATCTCTTGATTTCCTGGCTGATTTCAAAAGTGTTGATTGTGGAGCCAAGTAAACTAAAATTGTTAATCTCATCAGCCCAGTGGTCAGAATCTTTGTTTTTTGATGTTGAGCTTCAATCCATATTGAAGGCTGTAGTCCTTGATCTTAAGCAGCAAGTGCTTCAGATTCTCCTCAGTTTCAGCAAGTAGGATTGTGTCATCTGCATAACACAATTTGTTGATGTATCTTACTCCAATTCTGATGCCACATTCCTCCTCATATAGCCCAGCCTCCCAGATGATCTGTTCTGCATATAATTTGAAAAGGTATGGTGACAAGAATAAATCCCTGGTGCACACTCTTCCCGATTTTGAACCATGCAATGTCTCTTTGCTCTGTTCTGTTCTGATGACTGCCTCCTGGTCCAAATATAGGTTTTGCATAAGCATAATCAAGTGTTCTGAGATTCCCATTCTTCTGAGTCAGCCACAGTTTATGATCTACACAGTCAAATGCCTTTGCATAGTCAATGAAACACAGACATTCCTCTCATACTCTATGCTTTCAGCCAAGATCTATCTAACATTAGCTGTAATCCCTAGTACCAGAGCCTCCTCTAAATCCAGCCTGCATATCTGGCAATTTTCTGTTGATGCTCCTCTCCTGTCATGTTTGGATAATTTTCAGCAGAATCTTGCTTATATGTGATATTAATGATATTGTTCAATAATTTCCATACTCTGTTAGGTCACTTTTCTTTGAAATGGGAACAAATATGGATCTCTTCCAGTCAGTTGGTCAGGTGGTTGTCCTCCAGATTTCTTGGCAAAACTTAGTAAGCACATTCAGGGCAGTGTCTGTTGATTTATGTCAATTGGTATACCATCAATTCCTGGAGCCTTGTATTTTTGCCAATTTTTTCAGAGCAGCTTGAACATCTTGCTTCATCACCAAAGGCTCTTGCTCATAAGTTGTTTCATGAAATTCTTCTGTGTCAGCTAATTCCTTCTAGTATGGTGACTCTGATACTCCATCAAGAAACTAGGAAGGTTTAATAATAGTAAAATATACTGACTCTTACTGGTAGTTGTCCAAGGATAATTTGTGTTGGAAAGTAGGAAAAGTATGTCATTAATATATATATTAAGATGTGATCCCCAGGAGGGCAGGAATCTTTGTTTTAATCTTTAATGTAACCTAGGACTCTAAAAAGTGTCAAGAATATAGTCACTCAAATATGTAGCATCAAGTTGGTTTACAAATAGACTATTGCATTATTTGAGATAAAAATTCAGTCTCTGAGGTTTTTGTAAAGCATAAAACTAGAAATCATCTTTTCCTTCTAAAGTCATATAAGAACCTTACTGCTAATTAATTAATGAGTCCTTTCTATTCCTGAGAAATAGGCTGAAAGGTAAACTTGGAAATTAACTACTGAAGTTAATAAATTAAAGAAAAATTCTTCTTGTTCAGTTAACCCTTTTTCTGTGTCCATTATCGTTTCTGTTGGGAAGATGACATTTTTCTGGTAGAGATTAAAAGGAAGGTCACTGAATTATTCACAGCATGGAGCTGATGGAACAAGCAAATCATGCAAGTCAGGACTAGCAAACTAACACCTACTAATAACCAAAAGGTTGGAAGTTCAATCCACACAGTGGCACATGGAAAGAAATATATGACAATCTTCTATAACAACTGTAGTGAAGAAAATCCAATGGAGTAGTTCTACTCTGTAACTTGGGATCTCCATGAGTCAGAATTGACTTAATGGTGAGGGTTTGCTTGCTGTTGACTATTGAGGACAAATAATCTTCAGAGATGAAATGTAATAAAGCCATTAGGAAAGAAAGAAAATATATTATACAGAATTCAAGCCATGTGAGCTTTCTCAGTAAATATTAGCCTATTTACAGAATTAAGGGGTTGGTTAGGACAACACTGACATTTTTTAACACCACTGTAGCAATCTATTTAAACTAAAGAACACTGTTTTTTTATTATATACCAAAACAATATTTAAAGACATTTGAAAAGACCATCTGAATTTTATGTAACATAGAATTTGTGTCAGCTTAAGGTGTATGGCAAGTTTATCATTAGAGTGATGACAATTAGGGTATGGGATGCTGTGATGTACCATCAAGTCGGAAATAACTCATTGCTGATTCTTCAGGGGTTTTCAGAGGCTATAAATTGCATAGGAAGGGAGAGCTCAACTTTCTCCTGTGGAACAACTGGTGAATTTGAATTACACACCTATGGGATCACAGTGCTAGGTGAGAGGAAAGACCTCAAATTGTTCCTTAACATAAGTCACAATTGTTACTAAATTCCTCTTACTTCTATCCCTGGAAAGCTTACTAATTAGGTAAAAAAAATCCATCTATGTTCAAAGCTAAACCAAAAACTACACATAGAAGTATACCTGTTGCCATCAAGTAGATTTTGACTCAGTGCCCTACTTGGTAGGAAGCTACACTGCAATACTAAAGGCACACAGTTCGAGGCTACAAGCTGCTCTGCAGGAGAAGGAAGGGCAGTCTCTTCTTATTAATGTGATTAACTGCCTCTGAAAACCCACCCAAGGGTCAGCTATGCGTCGGGCCTGACTCTATGATTCAGAACTACCACCATAACCTATTCTGTAGGACAATTGGGTTTCCAAAATCATAATCTTTACAGACACAGACTGCCACATCTTTCTCGCTGCAGGCTGCTGATGGGTTTGAACAGCTGACCTTTGGGTCACCAGCTGTGCACTTAGGTCCTGTACCAGAAGGGTTCCTCTTCAAAAGTACAAATATATACAGTTTACTTGGGGCATGTATGTGTGTGCACATCATGCATATAATGGTGGTTCTATATGTTTTCCTCTTATACTGAATTTAAAGTGATGTGGGGATATTTGTTTGCCAATTCAATATAGAAAGCACATTTCCTTAATGTTCTGATTCTGAAGAGTAAGAATGCCATGATTACAAATTATATTACAGTATTCTTTTTTAATACCTATTTTTTTCCCGTTTACTGCCTTTTTTTAAAAAAAAAAAAACAACCCTATTGGTTTGCATGCCAAATTCATATACATTGCGTTTCACACATTCCTTCATTCACATTGTTTTTCATATGATCTTTCCCATACTTATAAAGTATTCTTTAGAAACAAATCATTCCAGTGTAACAAATTGGCCACTTCTTCCTCTGGATGCCTTTGCTGAGGCCAAACAACAATTACGGTCATCATTAAAGATTTTGTTTGTTTGTTTGTTTTTACTCTCACCACATACCAGGTTCATGGATAGGCAATACCTTGAAGTTTCTGGAAGGTACACTGAAAAATTTAATGAACACCTTCCTACCCCCTTACTCTGCTCCCTTCAACAAGTTACTTACCAACATTTGAAAGTTAATGGTGACAGAAAAAGGCTGCTGCTCTTCTTTCATAGGGATGATTCAGAAAGAGAGGGTTGTGGTTGAATCACCTATCTCATTAGTGCCTGGTGTCAAAGGCAGGTGTTGACCATTTCAGTCCGGACAAAAGCAGAAAGGAGGAGGAGGAAGAAACCAGCAATTATTTTGAATGTGCCATGTGCCAAGCACATGTTATCTCATTGAATGTCTCTAACTAATCCCACACAATAGGTGTATTTTCCTTATAGATGGAGAAACAGAGGCCCAATGAAAGGAAATAACTTGTTTAAAAATCACATGTTCATGACCGCATGGTGACCAGATACATGCTTTTCAATTTTGTGATCATTTCTAAACATTTGGGGTTTTTTTAAAGAAAAGTTTAATATATTTATTTGAAAACCAAGTTCTGTGAAAGAACACACTAAATAGTTGAATCTTCTCTTCAACCAAAGCCTTGGAGACAGGCTTTCTCAGGCCTGAGAAGAAAAAAATATGAAACATTCATGAATTTGCTTGTCCTGCTTGCACAGGCACCACGCTAATCATCTCTGTATTGTTCCAATTTTAGTATATGTGCTGCCGAAGCGAGCACCCACACAGTTTTTAAGAGCAAATATTTGGGTTCAGAATAGGATGTCTTTCTACA